CTTTTGCGATGGTGAGGGGGATTTCGTCCATGATGGTATTCGCCAGGTCAGTTCCCATCGATATCACTTGCATAACGTGTAGTTCACGAAAAAAGAATTAAGTCGAAACCATTTATGTTTGCCCAATTTGTTCAGTTTGTGAATGCAAGTCTCAGTGGTCGTCGATAAAACCAGGAACATAGAAGTTCTAGCTGGTCTTGCTAGAGTGAAAATATTTCAACGATAACAAAGACAGTTGCAAGCTAGCGCCACGGGAAGATTCTTATAAACAGTAAAAATATCACAGGAGGAAGTGTGCGAGAGTTATAGTGTAATCCCCAACTCGTTTCATCTGGACGTGCAAAGTCAAGTACAAGATATTTTATTTAAGTCTTTATGCTTTCGTCTTCAGGTTTTCTGATTGTTTCATCATCCACATTAACATTTGTTTCTTGTTTCTTTTCAAGAGTAGATGATTTGAATTTTCTCATTTTCATAAGCTTGAGGCTGGCAACATCACAATTCCAGTCCCTAACAAAAACAAGACAAGACCACTCAATCAATACACCATCATAAATTATTTGTTCCCATTTTGATGTAACTTCTTCCATTTCTAGATTACTACTCGGCAAATTTTAACACTGAGTTGTCGCTAGCATTTCTAGAATCACTTTAAAGCAGTCAAGAGTGTCATTCATCACGTTCCAGCCAATCAGATTAAACAAGCTCTTTCTCCCAACCAATCAGGGGCAAAACTAACAGAAACCACCCGTCGACTAATGTCCGCGCTTTTTGCCAGCTAGTTGCAAGTTTCTTCATTATGTTCTGATTGGTTAGCTGCATTTGAGGTTCCGACTTAGGCTTATTCAATCCCGTATCACGCCACTATTTTTGGCTCAATACCACCAACCCGCCCCACTTAGAATGTTTATGCCGATCCCGTCTGGATTTTGTTAGAGTCACAGTTCTCCGCGTAACATGCCATTTTCTGTTTTTCATCCCACATCCCAGCGTCAATTTATTTTAAGCGTCCCGCAAGTCAAAATAAGCAAATCCCACTCCCGCTAAAGTATGTTTATCCCGCATCCCACCATTAAAATTTCTATCT